GTGGCGGGGAGAGGGAGGGGGCAGAGTGGGGGGTAAGGGAGGGGGTGGGGGCAGGGGGGAGAAATGACCCAAGCCTTGTATGCACATATGAATAATAAAACAATAAAAAAAAATAAAAAAATTTTAAAAAGTAAAAAAAGAAATAAGACCTGCAGGTGTCCTAGAAGACTGTACTAGGGTTTGAACTCAGGGCTTCACACTTGCTAAAGCGGGAGCTCTACTACGTGAGCCACTCCTCCAGCCCTTTTTGCTCTGATTATCTGGGTGTTGCTTTTTGCCCAGCCTGGCCTGAACCACCATCCTCCCATTTTAAATCTCTTGCCATTGCTGGGATGACTTGTGTGTACCACCACACTCAGCCCTCTCCATTGAGATGTCTGTCTTTTGTACTAGGCTGAACAGAGAAGATTCAAGACAGCGCAGCCACCACTTTCAGATGACTATGAGAGTTGAGCTCCAAGAGGTAAATTATATTAAGTCTCACTTTCACTACAAAGGCGCTGCACAGCTTTTCCTAAAAGCAGCCCCACACAAAAACTTGTCCCTTCACTGAGTTGTACAGCACAGTTGTTCTCAAATTCGAGGATGTATCAGTCACCTGGAGGGCAGCGGGGGAGTGGGACACCCCAGAGTTCAGTAGGTCCGGACCCCAAAAACTTGTCCTCCTGGCATATTTCCAGGTGACATGCTGATCTGGGGTAGGCCTTGAGAATCACAGCTATTATCACATGCTCTCTACCTGAAAATTTCATGGTTCATTTGAATTTTGTCAATAATCCAGAATGATTTTCTGTATGTCAGTCTTCCCCGCCAGATCTCCATTCCTTTGGGACAGGGATTGTGTTATCTGTTTTCTCCCACATTAATGAGTATCGTTGGACACGCTGATTAAATACTTATATGTTAGGCAGAACTTCAGAGAACTTGATTTCCAGTAGAAAGGGGTCAGCTGTAGTTAATTTTAGGATTGCCACATTTTGCAAAAGTTCATCTACTTCTTTCCCCTCATCATTCACATACAAAGATCTCCATTTGCTTTAGCAATATTCTAAGCACATTAAAGAAAAACTTCAGTCATGATTTAGGAAAAAAGAGTTCATTCCTTCATCCTTCCAAACAAGGTACAGTACAACAGAACAATAAAGTATATTCCTGAAAAACACAACTGTCTCTTATATTGCTCTACTCTTTAAGTATAATTCAGATATTAAGGAAAAGAGTTGCTAATCATGTGAACACATTACAGAAATCAAAATTAACTTACCACACAAAATAAATTAAAACATTAAATATTAACCTTTTCAGTGCAACATATACAGAAGTCAGAATGAGTTCTTTAAAAAAAAGCGTCAGGTTTGTTATAATAAAGATAATGAGAAGATGAACATTTCAGTAAGTTATTAAGAGGGGTTGCTTTTTTAGTAGTGTGTGTGTATATGTGTGTGTGTGTGTGTGTTGTGTTGTACACACACTACCAGGTATTTCAGGTATTTCAGAAAGCTTGGTAAGCTCAATGGCTAGAAAGACTAGGTCTTACATTAGAATGCTAAAAACAAACATGAGCCAGGCATGGTGGTACACACCTATAATCCCAGTACTTGGAGGCTGGAGCAAGAGGATTGAGAGCTCAAGGACAGCCTAGGGTACATAGCGAGACCCTGTCTTAGAAAAAAAAAAGCAGGAAACAAACAAAATCCTAAACATGTGTTGTTTCTGTGATGTTCCCTTGGTCTGGGTGTTTGAATTATTCTCACTCCTTGGCTAGGTATGTTGGAAGCCCAGAGCCTATTAAGGGATTGGGGCCTCCTGAGCAGTGTTAGAGCATCACTGGTCCATCCTTGTCAAATTACCTGGGAAAGTAAGCAGTGTCCCACATTTCCTGGGAAACTGTCTATCCCCTAGGTGAGAAAAGCCCCTTGGAGACACCAGGCAGTTGTCTATGCCTGCAGAGAGCAACCTACTTCTAAACCAAGCTCCCAGGCCTTGGGTGGGTGTGTATCAATCCCTTCTTTCTTGAGAAATGGGACCATTGTGCTCACCTCTTCTGCTGGGATGCATGCCAAAACTCAACCCTTGGTTCCACATGTGTCCATCTGGGGCCCTAGGGCCAGCTTAGAGCTGGCTGCTGCAGACCTTTCCATATACAGACTGTTTCCTGCCCTATGTTGAAAGTCACAGCCTGGAGATCAGTGGGAAAATTTGGGCATCATAAAAATTTTGGAGGCATTTTTTTTTTCAATGGGGGGATTTTCATGATTCCCTGAGCCAGTGGGACAGCTATGTTCCCCAGGTCATGTGTGGCTACTTACCAGGGTAGGCCTCTGAGATGTTTTTCCCTAATCATGATGAACACTTGGCTTTCTCAAGGGCAAGAAAATACAGGGGTGGCCTATAAGATGCATTTATATAGCTAATCAAAGAATTACCACTGCCACAAAACGGCACAGAAATCCAGTGCTTGTCATTTGATTTCTAAAAGAGACATCACCAAACAAGCAAGGCTGTCATATCCTGGGTTGTGGACAATGGTCCAAACAGACTTGGCTCAACCCAGCCTCAGCTTCTGACCCTTCTCAGACCTGCTGGTTTACTGAGGACTGACTCAGAAGGCACTTGGGAGGTACACACTTGAGCCCCATCATCGCATGGTGTACAGGCACAAGGAAGGGTGTGGGAAGCTGTGATTGGCTAGCTCTGAGAACCGGAGTAGTCCTTGCAGGGAACTTCTGCTTCCGCCATCTGTCCATCCTCATCTTGCACCTCTGCAAAGTCTCATGGATGCCAACTGCTGAAGATGTCTGGAGGAGGGACACTGATCCTTCCATCCACTAGGTGAAGAAAGCCCACAAAACATTTTCAAACTGCTGTCAGGAATCTCCAACAGACTAGAAAAGACCATCGTAAACTAACAGTGTGAACTAAAGCTAAAAGCAAGTGCTTCTCTCCACTTTCACCAGTTTAAGCCAGAATCTCAGACTTTCAGGAGGGTCTGATGAGAACAAGTGCAAGTGGGGTCTGCAATTCAGGGTCAGTGGATTGGTCTCTGAGCAGGAGGCTACAGGAAGCCTGGACCCACACATCTGCTGCGATAGGATCCACCCAAGGAGTGCAAACTTGAATCTATTGTCTTTAATAATTAAAAAAACCTCCTTGGGTGTGGGAGTACACCTGTAATCCCAGCACTTGGGAGGCTGAGCCAGGAGGATAGTGAGTTCAAGGTCAGCCTGGACTACATAGTAAGATCCACAAAAACAAAGCCCCCCACCCCTTCCCAACCAACCAACCAACCAAAAAAAGCACCTATGTGTCCACTACATAGATAGGGGATGCAGCTCTGAACAGATTCAATTTCTGATTTACTGCTTCAGATACGGTATCATTACACAAAAGTGTCAATGTTGAGACATGTGTCAGATCATTGCCTAAACTGTTAAAAAGAAAAAAAAAAAAAGAGAAAAGTCATGGAAGTATAGACTGGGGAATAACAAAATTTTCTGACAGAAACTTCAACGCCTACTTGGTAGGTTAACTGTCCCTTTCATGATGTGACACGTTAGATGCACTGAGGAGCTGATAGTCTGGAACTCTTTCACTGTTCAAATATTAGTGAATTGTTTCTTACATAGTGAGTTTATATATTATCTCACTGTTACTCTGTTTCCAAATTGTATTGACCATTCCAGTGGAATGCTTCCTGCTGTTTATTTGAAGGGACCCACTGCTTTCAGCAGGCAGGCCCAATGGCTCAGGAACACCGTCACACCTTCTGCCTAGAAGAACAATTTCTCCTTCTCTCCGGGAGAAAGTGAGAGGCTCTGGAGCATTTTTGCTAATAACACCAACATCTTGAGTGGAAAGAAAACAAACCACTGGCATTTTCTCTTACTGCTTGAAAATAAATAGGAAAGTTAAATTTCTCCATTGAAAAATAAAGCAGCAAATCAACTAAGCAACAACGTGGAAAATGAAGGACTGGTCCCCTTTCATGATTCAGCCAGAAATGCCCACATCTTGCTGTGATCCCCAAGTTGGGCTCACAAGGAAGTTAATTTGTCTAATCACCAAGCAGTGGAGTATGGATTGTGTTTATCTTGTACACACACACAGGCCCTCTGTCCCCTCTCTCAACAGAAGGGATAACTAACCCCTGATGCTGGATTTGCTGAATTTTTTTTTTTAAACCAGACTGAATTGGTGATTGATCTGCTTGTGTTTTAGATGGCATGACCTCTGAACCCCAATCTTTGCTCCACATCTTTGGGTTCTGTCTCCATAGCCCCCAGGTGGCTTTCCCAAACCTTAGCTGTCTCAAAGTGGTCAGCTGCTTCTAATCCATCTTATTTTTCAGCCAGCAACACACATCATTAATGTAGAAGTCTAAAGGGGGTTATCCTTTTTACATCGACTTAAGAAATGAAAAATAAAACCATTATCCATCTAATAAATAAGAAATTATCTTTGAGGGTGGCGATAGCTTGGGAAGGTCTTCATCATATGTCCATGGAAAATGTCAAGGTAGTCAGAGAACATGGCTCCTCTTAAACTTGGTGTCTTCATGTAACAATAAGCTGTTCCTCCTTTTCTACTTTCTACACCAAGAAGCAGATGAGAGAAAATAATAACCACAGAATCTCCGGTGTTGGGCAGGATTCTGTTGTGGGGAGGTGGCCCATTTAGAAGAAATATAGCCCGGAATTCATGACTTGCAAGAGACACTGCACACACCTGGACTCAGGCACACACACCTGACACAGGTAAACAGGAAAACCACCCTTTGCAGTTCTTGTTTGACCAGTCTTTAAATTGTGGTCCACTCATTTCTTCTGTAGGGCACACTGAATAACCCCAAGCAGACAGAGTTCTCAATAGAGTTTTGAAGGTCCACAAAAGACAAAAGGCTGCACAGTAATTGCAGGCAAAAGAAGAGGGGTCCAGAGGCATGTTCTTGGCGGCGTTGTCCTGAAGAAGGCCTTTTTTCATTGGCCTGCCACAGGCCACCTGGCCAAACTCTTCTGGGCTCTTCAGACCACTGGTAGGAAGGAAAAATAGGTTAAAGTACTGTGCCTGAGCACCCAGTGATGTACCCTGCCCGAGGGCTTCAGCTGAACTTAGCTGTAGCCAGTTCCTCTACAAGAGGTGGCTTGGTGGGCAGTTCCTGAGGTAGTCCCAGGCCTGGTGGTTGCATGGCTTCCCTTAAGCCTATACAAGAGTGGACCCATTACTTTTCAATAGGTGGCTGGCATGGTGAGGCAGCATGGACACAGTCCTCAGCAACTGAGTCCTGGATATCTTTCTGCCCTGATCCTTCCTGTAGCTACTCTGGGTTGGAGCAGAATGCCTACCATAGGGGTGAATCAAGTCTGTTCCAACAGGGCTCTGATACAAGCATCCCTGGTGTACCATACTTTGGGCTCAACAGACCTGCCTGGTGGCAAATGAGACTGTGGGGACATGCATCATCTCAGGGAGAGGAGATTCAGCCTTGGTGACCATCCCTGAAAGGCCAGAGCCTCTCCCCACTCAAAGCTAACATCTCAAATGGGAGAGGATGTTGTGACATTATAAGAAACATTCACCCCAAATGACCTGCTGAAGATTCAGACAAATATTACAAAATCTACTATATGTTTTCTTGAAAATTTTAAATACTTAAAAGAAAAAAAAAAAATATACACCTTCATTAGCTCCATGGATAGTGAAAGATGTGAGTGGGGGCCTTCAGAGGCCCTGGTTCTCACCCTCATTGCCCCTCTGACTCATGGTGAGACCCCAGGAGACTCAGTTTACCCATCTCACACGAGTCCTCCTCCTCTTCAGGCCATTATAAGAAGTAATAGAGGTGCATTTTCAAGCGCATCTCCTAAATCTGAGTGCTGGTCTTGCAGTGGGAATTATCATGGCTATGGAAATGGAATAGAAGCAAATGGTGCTATTGGACCTCCAGCTCCCTACAGGCCAGATTACCACTAGGCTTAATGAACACATGAGTGTTGGGCCTCCCAACTGCCCTTCTCCCTAACCCTCTCCATGCACCCTGGAGCTTCCGGAGTGCCAGCTGCTTCCTAGAGGAGGATGCATCAGGTGGATTAGCCTCGGTGACTGTCTCCTGACCCACTGCTCCAACAAGGCAACTTTAAGTGATGATGAGCTGTCAAGCAAAGCATACCAGGGCCTGTCTGGATAAGGAACTCTTGACTCCCAGAGCCTAGACCCAGAAAGGCTCAGATGAGGGCTCCTAAACTGCTAGCTTGGCCCCACCTCCAATGCCCAAACTTCTTTATGGATGTTGGTGACAATATTCATAAACTTAGTGAAGATCGCTGAATCTAAGAGTTTGAAGGGTCCTTAGAGACCTTTTAGAGCCCAGACACCTCCACTGACCCATTAATGGGAAGGGGGAAGAAAGTGAACAGACATCTTTTGGGATACACTATGCCATGTGTTTTTTTAATCAGTACTCACCTAATTTATACAACTTCTTTTTCAATACTTAGGGTTGAACTCAGGGCCTTGTGCTTACTAGACAGGTGCTCTACCCCTTGAGCCTCATCTTCAAACCTTTTGGCTTTGGTTATTTTTTTGAATAGGGTCTTATATTTATGCCAGGGCCAGCTGAGCTATAATCACCCTATTAACACTTCTCACTTAGTTGGGATGACAGGTATGAACAGCCATGCTCAGCTTTTTATTGGTTTGAGTTGAAAACTTTTTCCCTAGGTTGGCCTTCAACCACAATCCTCGTGATTTCTGCCACCCGACTAGCTAGGATTATAGGTGTGAGTTGCTGTGCCCAGCTTTATACAACACCTTTTTAAGAAGAAAATTGAGGCTCTGCAATGTTAAGTGACTTGTCAGATGTCACATAGTCACCAACAAGGATAGAAGAGCTCCTTTCTAGGTCAAACACACCATGGAATAAACCAAACATGACTTTAACAAAACAAGGCTGGCAGAGTGACTCAACAGTAAGAGCAAGAGCGCCTGCCTAGCAAGTATGAGGCCCTGAGTTCAAACCCCAGAGCCGCCAAAAAACAAACAAACAAACAAAAAAAAACCAGCCTCTCCTTTTCTCCCTTTTCCTCTTTATCTTCCTGACACTTCTGCTCCAACTTGGAGACATGGCCATTTTCTTTCAGGAGTGCCTCCCATGGAAGAAAAAGCTCCTCTCTCCCCACAGCAGCCCTTTACCTGTCTCTGAGTGGCAGCAAGCAGTCCTGCCCTTCAGGAGGGCACTGGGCTTCTCGTGCCGGCAGATGAGGGCACGGCACCACTCACAGTGTTTTCGGACTTGGCAGCAGCTGCAAAGACATGGAGGAGAAAATCTGAGCTTGAGCTTGGCAGGAGAGCCTGGCCGGGCAGCTCTGGGCTCCCCTCAGCCCTCTCATGGGTCCTCTAGAAGTTCAGGAAATGTGGGGAGTTGAAGGCCTTGCATCATGGCTACAGCTCTGCTTGGACAACCAGGACCACCTGACTCCAGCTTCCCCAGCTGGCAGCGGGGACTGGCCAGCTTCCCAGCTGCGATCCCCATAAAGAAGCAGTTGAGAAACTCCACCAGTGTAGCAATGGCCTCAGAATGGCCATCAGACTTGGGACCAGCCTCCACCTCTGGCTGGCAGGCCTAAAGGATGCAGAAGGAGGTAATTCTTCAAGTACAGCTACTGGCACAGCAGGAAATGGATGGGCTGAGTTGCCTCATGGAGGAGTGGGAGAATAAGTCATGGGTCTCAGTGGCTCTGAGTCTTCTTTTTAGGACTAAAAAATTATTCTCTAGTTTTAGAAAACCAACCACTCTGAAAAGCTATGTGACTGGAATCTGGAAGCAGCAGGGTGAAGAGGCTCCTGCCTCCCTCTGTGGGCTGCAATGAGGGGTTTTCAGAGTTAGCATGAAAAAAGAACCAGGGAAACCAAAAAAGCAGAGAAGAAAGCACTGAGACATCAATCAGCTAGAGGCCTGGGATGTCATGAAGGACTTCATTCCCACGCATTCCAGCCTTAATGTATATAATCTATGCATCTGTGGACTGGGACTGAGAGGTTTTGCAGTTGACATGAGCCAAAAGACCCATGAGGAAAAAACCCAGCGGTAATGCCTCTTTTGGTCTAGGATGGCATTTCATTTTGTTGTTGTTGTGGCATTTACAAAAGTTCTTACAAAATACATCAAATATATCATAGTTGAATTCACCCCTTCCATCATCTCTCATGGTATTTCATGAGCCTCACCCCAGCTTCTCTCTCTCTGTCCTGCCTTGGAATATGAAACTGAGAAAGTTACTAAACCTTTGAATCCTGGGGCAGCAAGGCCAAGAAGGGACTCCGAGATCTTCTTACCTAAGCTGCTTCTGTCACAGGTGGAAAACTAGAGGCCAAAGGAGTTGACCAGGGCACAGGGTGCCCCTTAGCTTGGAGTCTGGGCTGGGGCAAGTGGATTCCTGCACATATCCAATGAGAGCTCTCTGTGCCTTAGAAATTCCGTTAGTTCCAGAGACTAAATCTGGCCTAGTACCAGGTGCTGGGAATCTAGCACTGCACTCTCCAGAGTCTCCACCTGTGCAGAGCTGTCCAGTGAGCAAACAGGGCCAAGACACTCCTGCAAAGTCTCTCTGTCTGACACTCAGCACAGCTTCCTGGAGGACTCAGCACAGAAACTGGATTTTGTAGGATAAGGAAGGGCAGAGGGGAAGAGAAAGGGAAAGGACTATCAGGGTGATGATCACCAGCCTGGAATAACAGCAACTGTGCCTTCTGCAGAGAGAGAGAGAGAGTGCTGCTTCAGCTACCACCTAAAGGAGGCTGGGAGCCGTTTCCAGTGCTCTCTGAAATTGAGTAACCTACCCAGTTTATCTATCACTCTTCAGAAGGCTTCCAGAACAGTAGCAGAGAGGGAGCATGCCTTCCCTTTGATACTGGCTTCTAGTAGTACACAAAAACACCACTGGGCACCCACCCAGGATACTCCAGACCTTGGCATGGCTTGGCTGCCACACTGTGTTGAGAGTCATCAAAGTTCTTCTTTGCTTTGCTGACACCACTCACAATTTGCAGCAATCAGCTATGCTGAGGTGGCCCTGGTAGGAACAGGCTGGCAGGGGACCTAACCTCAGGGGCAGCAAATACTCACTGTATCAGCACACATGTGATGATGAGGACAGCCAGGGCCACAATGGAGACCACCACCAAGGCAGTGATGGCCTGCTTCTTCTGGCTGGCGGCCACCACAGCCAGGAGGTCTGCATGCTCACAGCGTGCACCGATGTAGCCAGTGTGGCAGCTGGGGAAAAAGGGAATGTCAGTGCACTGCTGATGGAAGGTCTTGTCCCTCACCTGTTCTGGGAAGGCTGGACCAGAGAGACCCGGAGCCCCTAGGAACTCCAGCTGTTGCCATGGGAGAAAAAGGTGCGAGCAAAATAACTCCTACTTCCTGTCCACAGGCACTGCTTGCTGAGAGGAGAGGGGACACTGATTCCTGAGGATGAAAGGTGTTGCCCAAAGCACTTAGTGATTATTCCTACTGGGCTAAGCCTTTGGGTGGGGGGAGGGGGAATAAATGCAGGAAGGTGTTATGTCAAGAACTTCATTTCAGCAGCTGATAAAAATCCAGGTTATTTTTAAACCAAATGTGTATATTCAGAATTTCTGCTGAGAGGAAGAAAAAACACTCAACTCACTGGAGACATGGCATGTGCTTCACTTTTCTTTGTTCATCCAGTTTAGTCCTGTAAGTATTTCCTGGTGGCCCAGAGCAGAGAGAATCTCCAGAAGTAAGTAACAGATGGGGGCTCAGCACCATGACCTACCTGGTCACAGTGAGACTGGAGAACTCACCAGACTCCCGTGAACCCGAGTCCTCCCATCTAGCAGTACCTTGCTGACCTCCACTCACTACGGGAGGGCACCAGTGAGGTCATGTGTGAAGGTGCACACACCACTAACCCAAGGTGGAGAGTTAGTGGCATTGCTCTTCTTCCAGTGTCTGGCTTTGGTCCTGACAGTAACAGCCCAGTGTTACGCACAGTGGTTCTCAGCTGGTGGCTGTGCTCTCTAGTGCTAAGGAAATGCTGGATGTTAGCTTACAGCATAGGATTCTTCTCAATAGGAGCTACTTAGCTTGCCCCTGGTCCCTCTTTATTGTCAATGAAAGCATTTGATTAGGAAAATCTCCCTTCCCACTGGGGGCTTCCTTGAGGGGAAGCCCCACTTCACATGCAGGATTTAAAGTTTTTTTTTTTTTAAATCTTAGATATTGCAATGATAGCTAAATCTTTTTTTTTTTTTTGCCCCAAAGAATATGTTTTGATTAGGTAGCCTGCAACTTTCACCTGGTGGTTAAAAGGGGTCTGAAGAAACACTGAAAGGGAATTGACAATCCTGAGGCACCTGCCATTGTGCTAGGCTGGCCCCAGCACCTTTTTACTTGTCTCCTCTAGACTGGTCTCCTCTGCTGCCAGGTCCACAGGAGCTGGCCACAGGATAAACATGCCACATCTGGAGCTACAAGGAGCCACATGACAAATGTGGCATGTTTTCCTGGAGCACAGATTTTGCTCAATGTTACAGAAATTTTAGCATTTTTATGAAGGAACAAGTGTTGTATGGGTTTAACATTTATGGCAAGCACGACATGCAGAAAAAGTTGCTGTTGAAGGTACAGCATGGGATGTTTGTTTCTGAAACAGAGCCTGGCTATGTAGCTCAGGCTGGCCTTCACCTTGTGATCCTTCTGCCTTATGCTCCCCAGTGCTGGGATTATAGGTATGTGTCACCATACCCAGCTTGTTCTTTTGTTAAGGGCTATTTTATGTTTAACATTCATTTTCTCATTTAGTCCTTGAGTGAAAAAATCAAGTCCTTTCTGGGGACTCGGGAGGAGTTTGCATGTAGGCCTGCTGACTTGAGTCTGGCTCTCTCTCACTTACCCGGCTGCTTCACCTGCATGCTAGATAGAGACTGGGGTGGGAATGTCTTTATCAAATCTGGCTTTTGGGTTAGCGTCTAATCTTGAAAGGGTAAAAGAGATTTGAGAGTATCGGTTGAGCTCTGTGCAAAGGGCTTGCCATCTTCGGCAAATAAGGAGGCCAACTGGGATGGAAAACGTAAGGGTTCTCCATAGACCTGGGAGGAGAGACCAGGCTCTGGATGGTGGAGGGTCCAAGTGGAAGGTGGGGGTGTGGTCTTTGGTAAGAAGACTTGTCTTGGGAAAGGATTGGGATCCCCAAATCTGAATAACACCGATGTTCAGGGCAATGGGACAGGGATGGATCTTGTTTGATTTGAACAAAACTCTGCAAAGGCAGAAGTGAAGAAGCAGTTTACCCCTTGGCACTGGCTGGGGGCGGGGGGAGGTGACAGTGGACCACAGTTGAGGCTGGGGAGTGATCCACATTGACTCAGGTAGTGCAGACCTCTAAACTGTCCATGTTTAAACAAAGCTGCACCAAGGATCCCTCTAGCCCCTCCTCAAGTTTGTAACCTGTACCCACAGGTCCCCTATCTTCCACCTGTCTCAACTCCTGTTACCGTCTTGGCCTAGAGTTTACCTCCTCACTCTTGTAAAGACCATATTCTCCAACAGTATGTACTCTACACACTCACTAATTTGCCCAGTCTCCCATCCATCCATTTTACCTTAGCTCAGTCACTGGCTATCCTGCCACCATGCTTAAACACCTGAATGCCCACACCCGCCTCCTTGCTTCTGTAGGGCAGGAGCTTGCGCTACAAAACACTCAGCTGCTCTTATGAGGGGGGGAAGAAAAAGAAAAGATTGGGTGCTACCCTTTTTATTTTAGACTTAATTATGCTAATTATTTTAGGCACAAGTCACACAAGGAGGTTGAAGGGTCACGACACCTGGCTGCAAATGAACCTTTACCTCAGGCAGGCACTGGTTCCCACCTAGCTGAAGATTAGACTCACCTGGGAAGCTCTGGGAACTGCCAGGACCAAGGCCACACTCCTGGTTTGGGCACTCAGGTGATTCTAGTATGTAGGCAGGCCTGAGAGGCCCAGAGGTAGGACTACTATGGATGGAATCAGCAACCAACAAGTTCAAAATCAGCCAGTTCCCCTTCCTCCCTCCTCTCTCTCAGCATTTCCCAGGCTGGTGGCTGTAAAATGGCCTCCTATCAAGTGCTAGAGAAATGGAAGACGCTGCAACCCATTTAAGTAAAGATTTTTGAACAGGTGTTATTTTGTCATAAAGGGGAATGGGCAATGTGTAACCAGACACTTTCTTACCTCATTTGACAACTTTCACATTTAGAATGGGTTTGTGAGCCCCTGACAGAAGTTGTGTTAATCAAACACAACTTAGTAGTTCTGGAAATGAGCTCCAGAACTACACTGAGGCTGCTTCCCTACAATAAGAACAAAAAGCTGGGCGCTGGTGGCTCACACCTGTAATTCTAGCTACTTGGAAGTCTGAGATGGGGAGGATCTCAGTTTGAGGCCAGCCCAGGCAAACAGTTTTCAAGACCTCATCTTCAAAGTGATAGAGCAAAATGGACTGGAGGTATGGTTCAAGTGGGAGAGTGTCTGCTTTGCACTGAAGTGCAAAAGCCCTGAGATCATACCCCAGTTCCGCCAAAAAAGGAGGAAGAGGAGGAGGAGGGGAAGAAAAAGGAAGGAAGAAAGAAAGAAGTGTGAGAGAAGGAAGGAAAGAGGTGGGACAAGAGACTTGTCTGAGCTGCAGAAGGACCCAGGGGGACTGGGGCTAAGGGGTGGGCTCTCCAGTCCTGTGGTGATGTGGCCCTCTGCAGCCTTTTTGTCTTTTTCTTGTTGATTAAGTCTGAAGGGTTCTTTTCTTAGGAGCAAACACTGTGGTGGTAGTCCCTCTATTTTAAACATGAGGAATTAAACTGCCTATGGAAGCCCTTCCTTTCTCTTCTAAGTCCCTCCTTTGCCAAGTGCCCTTTAAGATGTAAGGATTATGATAACACATATAGAACTGCACTCATATTTAAAATTGTTCTTATGAAAAAATTTTCTGTTGGGCCCAGTGGCTCATACCTGTAATCCCAGCTATATGAGGGGTGGATATAGAAGGATCACATTCTGAGGCTGATCCAGACAAAAAGTGCAAGACCCTACCTGAAAAATAACTAAAGAAAAAAGGGCCGGGAGCATGGTTCAAGTGGTAGAGCACTTACCTACCAAGGGAAAGGTGCTGTACTGCCAAAAATAAAAAATTCCCCATCTAGAAAAGGAATATTTCTAAGCAAAGTGGAAAGTAGATAAACTACAATAAAGCAGAGAAGGAAAAAAGGAAATCTATATTGCACCAATTACATTGTTTCACTCATAATATTCTGTATAGTTTAAAAAATTTTTTTAAATTTTATATACATTTCTCATTTAACATCTGTATTACTTTTTACTGACATTAAAAACCTCTGCAAAGCCATTTTAAATGCCTGCACAGTAACATATGTACCAGAGTTTGGTTCACCAAACTCTTACCATTTAGAGGATTTCCAACCATGGTCTCCTGACTAAGGCTAGGTGAGTACCTTTGTGCACACACCTTTGTTTGCATTTCAGTTTATGTCCTTGGCAAGGGTCTCAGAGGTCCGCACAACATGGCACAGACTCTATAGCCAAATTGCCATGGGTTCAAAGCCCTCTCCCCACTTCCTTCCTGTGTGACCTTGAGCAAGTTACTTAACTTCTCTGTGGACAGAGTCTGCATTTTTAAAATGCAATAGTAACAAGACCTACCTGAGTTATGAACACTAAATGAGATAGTATCTTTTAACATGCAATAAACAGTGCTGACCATAAAAGGGCCACATAAATGACACAAATATAAATAAAAAGATGGGAACATTTTTAGGGCTCTTGAGATATGCTGTCTTTATTTGCAGTGATGTATTCTTCAGCAGAATAGTATTCTGATTACTAGCCAGGTATAGATTCCAATATAAAGCAGTCCAGGACCAAGGTTCTTTTTTTTTTTTTTGCGGTACTAGGTTTGAGGGCCTCACACTTGCTAGGCAAGTGCTCTACCACTTGAGCCACTCCACCAGCCCTTTTTTGTGTTGGGTATTTTCGAGAGGGTCTCATGCTTGGACTGGCTGTGATCCTTCTAATGTCTACCTCCTAAGTAGCCAGGATTACTGGCGTGAGACACCGGCAGGTAGTTTTAGAAGTATGTTTTATACCAACTTGCCTTTAACATGGAGAGGTCCAGGGGTTGGGAGAGGATGGGTATACTTGGTCCAGTGGCCCGAGAATGGGTCTCCCCCTATCTTGGCCTCTCAAGAACCAGATTCACCCAGTCCAGGGCTAGAAAGGGTGGGCTGCAGACAGGGTTTCCTTTGCAGTGAGCCAAGGGTCTTGTGGGAAATCAACCCTACTCTCCTATCCTTTCAGCTGGACCTCCCACTGTTCCTGGGCCGTGAGGATGGCTGCATTGCTGAAGTGATGGTGACAGTGCCCATGGCAGCCACAGTAGCAGTGCTTATGCAGTGCGTGTGGAACTGTGCTTGGATGCTCTCTGGTAAAGTCCCGGATAACGGTACCAGAGATTGTTAGCTGGTGATAATGATAGAGATCATCTGGATCTAAGCCACTGCAAGGTGCTGAGTGCTTAGACTGTGGCTAGAGAGACCTAGAAACGAAATCTTAAATAGCCTCAGACATCTAGTTGCTTGGACAGTAATTACTTTATCTGCTTCTCATTTCCGACTCCGCACTGCACACCTGCAATGCAAACAAGGGTGTGTGTACAAAGATAATCACCTAGCAGTGGTCAGGAGACCATGGCTGGATATCCTCCAGATGGTAAAGAGTTTGGTGAAGCAAACTCTGGTAGGTATGTTACTGTGCAGGCATTTATTTATTAGCATCCCTAGTTTGCACACAAATTGTCACTTAAGGGTCTAAGTCATTTATGTGGGAGACTCAGCTGGATTTCAACTCAAGTCTGTCTGACCTTCAAATCCATACCTTTAATTGAGTTATCTCGCCTGGTTTGTGAGCCTCACTATCTGCTTCTGGTGGAGGCAGTGGGGGAACCAGGATGTGGGCTTTCTCTTGACTGTCGACCCAAGCCATGCCCTGGGAGGTACCCCTCCCCGACCTGCTGGTGTGGAGATGGCAGTAGATCTACATAGAGTAGTTCAGGTACCAACAGGAAATCACCCCCTCCCATACCAATCTGCTGTCCTGGCAGGGGCAGCCCTGCTCTCGAGTTTCTTGGGATGTTTGACGCTGTTCAGAGTGCACTGGAATGGTCTGTGGTCAGGGCTGTGGGGAACGCTTGCCTTGGCTAACTTGATGTGTTCACACTTTGCTGTGGGCATGCTGTCAGGGAGTTCAGCAGTCACTGAGGAGCATTTAGGACAGGTGAGAAAATTCAAATAGTTGCCACACTGGAACCCTTAACACTTGTTACCTGGGTGGCTTCCTGTGACTGTTTTCCTTTGTTTGAAAGCTCCTGCAGGCAGCAGAACAACAGTTTGCTGTTGAATCTACCTCAGGGAAAGGGTGGCTACTAATCTGGCATTTCTAGAGGTTTCTAGAGCATTAGTGTTAGTGTCTGTTGTGCTGTGTGGTCAGTCTGGGCCTCCCCTGAGGTGTCTATGTTTGAGGACAATTTTTATAACCTTTGGCCATATTTGACTAGTTATTAACTTTTTAAAATTTTCTCACTTATAGTATGAGATGCCACTTTAGGTTTTCTAGAAACCTAAAGACTCTTGTTCTTATGGAAGACTAAGAAACGTCTAAGAATGGATGGCAGTAGTTTAGAAGGTGACTCCCTCTTTTGAGACTATAACCTTGGCTGGCTGTGGCTTTCGTATAAAGCCATGACAGATGGGGCCATACCTCAAGATATGTCAGTTTTATGGACCAGAATGTTGAATGTTTCAGCTCCCCAAAGCTGGGGTGGTTCTTAAGAGCAGGGACAGAATGTTCTGGCTTTCTCTGCACAGACGGGTGGGAATTAATTAGTAGAACATTCTTCTAGTTACTGTAAATATAAAAAGGTATAAGGCGTGGTCCTGTCCTCCTGAGCTTGTGAGCCTGAAGAAGAATAAGGGAGAAAAATTGGCCTCTAGGGGTAAGGGCTGCTCTTACTGGGCTGTGTGCCCTCAGAACAGGGTGGAGGAGATGCCATGTCACGCTTGTCCCCAGTGCCCTGCCATATCAGAGCATGGAGTGGCCTTTAGATGAAGCCCTTGAGGGGGTTATACAGATGCCTGAAGGGGACCCAGTGGGCTGGTGTAAGCAGGACAGCAATGGCAAGTGATGGGTACCAGCATTCTGTGCTGGGGAAGGGGGGAACCAAGGATTTGGAGAGGATGAGCCTTGTCCGGGTGGTGGTGGATGTACCTGAATCTCTGTCTAGTTGCTGCACATGGGAGGTCAGGCCCAGCAGTGTCACTCTACTGTTTACTCAAGAGTAGCAAGGTACCAGCAGGGAAATGTGACACCTAACTTCTAAAATGGTGACAGCTAATTAAAGCCACCAAAGAACAACATGAAACATCATCTACTGTCACATAAAACATGGCTGTTCCCAGCAGTCAAGATCTAGGGGGGACTGAGGGAAGCATTTGGTCATTGCTTGCAATCCCACCTCTGCCATCTACTAGCGCTGGGGCTCCAGGCAAGTTGCTGATCTTCTCTGAGCTTCAGTTTTCTCACTTCTACGGGAAGGGCAATAATTTCTCCTGGAGAGATTGTGAGGAGTGTGTGAGATGCTGTGTGTGCAGTACTGGACACCATGCCTGGTGTAAGCTACACTTTAGGAGCTTACTATCATGACCAATGGGAATATTTATAATGTAACTTGCAGAGAGAGAGATGCCAGTGGTCCTGATTACCAAGATGGCATATATGTGAATGTGACAATTATCTTCCTTAGGAACCAGACTGGGGAGAGCAGGAGAGCAGTCACCTACTCCTCAGCTCTAGGAAGCTTCCAGTGGCTGATGGAGTCTTAGCTGCAGATAGTAACTGTCTGACTCATCTGATGGCCCAGGCTCCAGGCTGCCAGCTCTCTGAAAGTTTACACCAGCCCCTGATCAGGTGGGGAGGGCACCTGAGGACTCACTTCTGACCCACTTTTGATCAGAATGTGGTAAGGATTTGTCTTTTATCTCCAAACAGAATCTTCCTAATGCATAGCCTGGTGCACATTGAGGCCCTGAGCTGGACTCTGAGCCTAGCACGAGCACTGCTGATAGAGAGATTGCCTTTTCCCTGTTGGTCAGGGAGGCTTCCAGATACCTGGGTGGAGAGGCCAAACTCCCTTCAGGGCCAGTGTTTTCCACAATGACCTGAGTACTAATAAAAACAATCCCATCAGTCCCCTGGGGCCCCTGAGTGTGCACTTTAAAAAGAATGATAATCACAGGTAATGACGGTGTCTGATCATCAACATCATTGTGTTTTGTGTTTATGGGGTGGGGAGTTTCTTAGCTCTGCAGACATTCCCAGGAGGAAGACAGCCAGTGTGCCTCCCCTTCTTCCTCTCCAGGCAAGGCTCAGAGGCATCCAAGGGCCCTGCCCAGGTGCACACAGGCACACAGCTGTAGCCCAGGGCGAGCAGGGCCCTCCCACCACTGCAGACTGCAGCAGGCTCTCCTGGTGTCCACTGCCTCAGGCACAGTGCATCCAAAACCTTGAGATCATGCCTGAGAACTCAGCTTCAGGAGCCAGAGGCTCAACTCTGCTATGTGACCTGGGTGCAGTCTCTCTGCACCTACCTCATGGGGTCATTGTGAGGATTTAATGAGTCAACACATGGGAAGTGCTGGAAACAGCACCCCATACAAAGTAAAGCTCAAGCAATGCTAATGTTTATTAACATTTTGTAGTATTTATGGTACCACTAGATTGGGCCACATGAAATTGCTGACCCTTGACCATTTTTGATCTATAAAGATAACAGTTCATATGGAACACTGCCTCTTAACTAGGGAGTCATTTTTGCCTCACCTTTACCCCACTCAGGGGACACTTGGCAATGTCTGGAGACACTTTTGATTGTCATGACTGAGGTATCTAGTAGGCAGAAGACAGCCAGCGTTATTCAATGCACAAGTCAGTCCCCAAAGGAAGAATTACCTGACTCCAAATGTCAGCAGTACCAATGTTGAGCATGGACCTACCTTATGGTATTTGACTATGGACAGATGGCCTTTAAACATCTCTTTCCAAAGCTTACATGGCTCTGCCATGGGATGCAGACTCACTTCTAGTAGGCTCTGGCCTCCAACCTTGTTGTGGCCATCTGACCTGTAACAGCCAGGCCTGGAATGACCTCTCTGCTTGACCCACTTGGCAGCCCCTGACCCCCACTAGGGGAAGCTTTCCTTTTAGCATGTTTCTATTCTAATCTGGCCGACATGGCCATTGCCAGTGGCTCTTAATTAACGTGATCCCCAGGCTCCACTCCTGAGGATTCTGATTCGGTATGTGGGGTTCTCTGTAGGCAGAGGCTTGGCCAGGTGTGGGAGTCACCAGGCTGTGGCATGCTTCTTCACTTACACTCTACTCCTTGTTCTCTGACCACTCAAGTATACTGACACTTCGCATATACTTCTGGCTTATTTCATTAGCTGGACTGAAAAGTTTGCTGGAGTTTAGAGACTTCACCTTAGAGGCGCTGGTCACTCACAGGCACCTTTCCCTCTGGGAATGCTAAGTAGCAAACTAAATTCTAATCCAGAATTTTTCAGACTTTGCTGAGCCTGAAAGTCACCTCGGAGGCTTGTAAAAAATACAGATCCTGGTTCCAGCCTCCCGGGGCTTTACCTCAGGGGCTCTGGAACTTGTGTTTTGGGCCAAGTAATTTTTTCCCCCAGTAAAGGAAATTGACCTCAGGGTCTCTCCCTTCACTTTGTTTTTAAGTTTTTCAGGTAGGGTCTCTCACTAACATTGCCTGGGCTGGCCTTGAACTGTGTTCCTCCTGTCTCTGTCTCCTGAATAGTTGGCCCTGACCAGATGGTTTTGAAGGAGATGTTGCTTGGTTCGCTGCTCTGGTCCTCCAATGTGCCTAGCTCAAGGGGTCTCAGGAGCTTATGACAAACCTTGAGGAGGGAACCTCAGGGGAGTAGGGACACTTACACACATGCTGGCTCGTCCTCCTGTACCAAAAACCTGCAGGTTCCATGGAAGCAGAACTGAGTGTGGGAATCTGGGCATTCGTTAAAGTGTGACACCACAGCTGCAGCCACAGGTGGGTCTGCTGGGGAGAAAAGAGATACTGGGCTCAGATCTGGTTATAGCTGGCACATATATCCCCAAGTCTCTCCCCACCCCACTTCAGGGAAGGTGAAGCCCCTGGTGGTTGGGACTTCCTGTCCTCACTCAGAGCCCTCCTTGTGGTGCTCTCACTCACTTCCTATGCCCAGTACAGTACAGCCCCTCCACTATGTATTTTCTATTTCTTTTCTTTCTGTGGTCAAGAGAACAACATCCCCCAAAGATCCAGAGTAATTCAAAGATGCCAGACAATTTTACTATTTTAACCTAAGAGCTAATGTCATTTTTGCAAAGTGACAGCAATCATTTTTTAAAAAGATAGCCTTCATAAAAATCTTTTTTCAAAGCAAGACACCAGAAGAAAGGTACAAAAGAGCCTACAACTATTAAATTGTTGTAGAGGCAAAAAGAGTCAACTCAGAAAGATGTTTATGATACATGGGAAGGGGAATTAGTGAATTTCCAATAGGGTCTGTAGTGATTCAACTAGAAAAACGGTTAACCTGCTAACCTGGTTGTAGGGTGTCACTCAGTGTGGGACCAGGAGTGATTACTTAAATTTTAGCAAAGGGAGCCTGAGAAAAGTGGCAGAGTCCTACTTGGGGAGTAGCACTGGGGCCTCCTCATGGCCACAATGCTCACCTTGAGCAGGGTCACGGAACCTCAGGGGCTTCCTCTGCTGGCTTTCAGACAGGAATAAAAACAGCCAGCCAGCTCAGAAGCACTGTCACATATAACACCCCTTTGGCCTGCTGATCAGCACAAAGGCATTACTTTGGTTTATCTTATTCTACTCCCATGTGGCCAAAGGACACTTGTCTGTCCAAGTGACACTTGAGGCTCGGTACTCCCATCACCTCTTCACAGATCCAGCTGTGCTTGTGTTTTGGGGATCTGGGGTGGAGTGTCATTCTTTCCCATTTATTCTTGGAGCTCTTGCTTTCTGAGAAAGGAGCAGAATATTTCCTATTGTGAAGTTTTAACATAGATTTGAATTTTGCCTCTGTCACCTGGATGGTCTCTGCCATCTAGCTGGTTTCTTCATACCAAGATGGGGGCTGTACTTACCTCATTGGGGGTGGGGGAAAGGGGATTTGAAGTTTAATGAGGTAATGCTTAAGTTCTGTCCTCAACAAACTGGTATAGAACTCTCCACTGTCTGCTCTCCTATTATCCTGATGTCCTGAGATATTGATGAATATCCACTGTGAGAAAACCCTTACAGCATGTCACCCTCTCCACCGCTATAAATTCAGTGAAGTGTCACCAACAGTCCAAATGTCTTCATCAGCCCCCAGTGACAGTCAATGTCACAGGTGACAACAAGCAGAGAGACTGATAGCCTTGGGCCCCAGCTACAGGGACTGCTGTGCCTAAATGGCCCTGGCTGATTACAGTGATGGGGGCGAGCGGTGGGGTGGGGGGGCCTGGGGTGAGGAACAGCCCTATTTACTCCCAACTGTGGGTGACAGAGATGCTAAACTGAAGCAGGAAGGGAGGCTGTAGCTACATCTCTGGCTTCTCTGTGCTCCTTGTGCTCCACCGGGCTCTGAGCAACTCCAGGGGATGACAGGGAAAGATGAAGAAGCTAGAGACTAGTAGATTTACAGGTTCCAACAGGCTTTTGCTAAGCTCCACAAAAGGCCATTTAGGCCACTACCTCCAAATGGCTGGAGGAAATTCCTTGTCAGGGCTCTGAGCTGGGCTTCTCTAAGACTGGCCAACAGCTTCTTATCACTGGGAGCTTGTTAGAAAGCCAAGGTCATGGGCTCACCCTGGACCTAATAAATCACAATCTTTGGGGGGGACCAGGAATCTGTGTGATAAGCTCTCTTGGTGATTTTTTGGAAGTCAAGTGTATTGAGATGGAATTGCTATAGAGCAACATTTTCCCTGCAGGTAGTTCTGATATATACTAACGTTTGTGACACACACCTCTTGTTGCACAGTTAACAGCAAAGTGACAAATGGCCTCCTGAAAACAAAACAACAGAAGTCCTGCAGAGACCCTTTTTTGGAGCTAGTCATATTCCAGCTCTTCAAACTCCCATGTGATACTAATGCTTTAAATCAGCAAGATTCTTCCTGGTGGAGTGTTAAGTCAATGGAAATATGCTAAAAGAAAACCCTGGCTCTGTCTTTCTGGAGCACTTCTCTCCAAAACTGCCTGGTGAGAAGTGGACTGTGCTATGGTCTTCTTTACCCACTACTAATGGGTACGTTGCCTCTTATCAGGAATGGTTTGGGATGCTTTATAAAAACATGTACCACAAATAGGGAATGCAAATAAGAAAGAGGTGTGTGTAGGAAAGGGAGGTGGGGACCAGAGATGGAGAGAGAGGAAGAAAAAGAGGGGGAAGGAGCAATCAGGGTAAAGGAAAATAAGAGTAGGAGGAGCAAAAGCAAGTAAGTCAGGAATCTACAAAGGTTAATCTACAAAGACATCAGAGAGTCATGGGCACATGCTACATCTGAATGGCAAGTATCACTCTTTGTGCCTCCTGGCAGTCTAAGCAAGGACGCACATGGTTCATTAGAAATAAATATACCAGACACACATGGAGGACAGTCTCCATGATCTCTAATTCTGCGGTCAGACAGCAGCTTCTCTCTTTCTGTGCGTGTTTTCAAAGGCGACTTCATGAGCAATGGTGGACAACACCCTCAATAATATACCAAAGACACACACTGTCCTTCACTTCACCCAGCTCACTAAAAGCCAGCAGAGTCCACACTATGAAGAATCTCCATGCGACAGTCACAGCGATGGCAGATAACACCAGGTGAAAATGAGGAGCCTGCTTATGGTGCACACTCTTGGTCCTTCCTGATTGTACCCTCTGCCCCAACCCAAAGGTGCAGAGAGGATGGAGGGAGCCTGTGGCTAGGCTGTTATTATAATTGTTGAAAAGTAGTTTATTTAGAAAACCCCTTTATTTTCACGTCTGAAACTTTTTCATCTTAAAAAGGAGCATTTAGTTCAAGACACTTTGCACAAGGTGCTGTGCTGGCCCCCAATCCAGGTCAGATCAAGGTGTACCTTGCACAGGATGGGTCCTGTTTCCACTGATGTACCAAAGGTTATCACAGGTTTTCAAATAGGGGAGGTGACTGGAACTTGAAAGTAAGTGGACAGGGAGGGGCAGGACATGCTGCAGCTGCTTTGCTCACTGAGTGGCCTCAGGGTGAGCCAGCACAGAAAGAGGGGACGCACTGGGGATCATGGCCTCAGGGTGCTGGAGTTTAAGCTAACACATTTCACTGTAGCCATTCTTAAGGTTTAGATATGGCTTGAATATGTCCTCCTCCAAAGGTTCATGAACTAGAGTCTTGGTCTTCAGTGTGGAAGTGTTGGGAGGTGGTGGAACTGCTTTTGGAAGGGATTAATGTAGTTCTCAGAGGGGCCCAGTTATTTCCCATGAAGAGTGGGTTGTAGTAAAAAGAGCAAACCTGACCTCTGAATCTCTCTGGCTTCCAGTCTTGCCATGTGATCTTTTTCTCACACATGTACTTCCACTATGATGCGTTCACCATGCTGAAATGTAGTCAAAAGGCCCTCGCCAGAGCTGAGCAAATGCTGGTGCCAGAAAATGTCCAGAACTGTGAGTCAAGCAAATCACTTCAGCCTTGGGTATTTTGTTACAGCAACAGAGAATGGACCAATACAAAGTGTAAAGAATGCAGCAAGTGATGGGGGAGAAATTGTGCTTGTTTGGGAGCCTATAAAGAGTTTTGTTGCAGTGAAGAATACTCCCAACAGCACAGCATGGTCAGCCCTGACAGACAAGACCATTCTATTGATATTCTCAGGAAAACAGCAATGGGGATATGGGTGGGGGTGTGCAATCACTTACCAAGGCTGCTGTGTGCCAGATGCCTTCCTTGCTGTATCCCATGCATCTGAGGCATGGCAGGCGGTCACCCAGGGGAAGGATTTGCCCAGTAACTTTGGTACCATCTCCTCCTGGGGGTGGTGGAGTTTAACACTTTAAATTTTTTTTTTTTTTTTTTGTTAGCACTGGGGTTTGAACTCAGGGCCTCTTGCTTGCTAGGCAGGTTCTCTTACCGCTTCAGCCAGTCTGCCAGCCTGGGGTGTGTGTGTGTGTGTGTGTGTGTGTGTGTGTGTGGTGTGTGTGTGTGTTGGTGGGGGGAGTAACATTGCTTCTAGTTATTTTATAAAACAAGTGTTACAAGGAAATCCCTGACATCTTCCCCACGATTGAGACTATCAGTTCCTGATTTTTTAAAAAAATTGAGACAAGGTCTTACTAGGTAGCCCAAACTGGCCTCAAGCTTGAGATGCTTCTGTCTTAGCCTCCCAAGTGCTGGTATCACAGACATGTACCACCTTATCTGGCTTTTCTGACTCTCTTTCTCCTCCTTTTTGACTCTTCCCACTTTTCATTTTCTCTTGCTTTATGTTTTCTTTCTGAAAAACTCAAGAAAATGTCAAGTGATGGAAGGAAAGACTAAAAGTGAAAATACAGACACATGGAAAAGCCAATGTAAGGCCAACAGGGAATGTTCACAGAAGACCGTCCTTCAAGTGCAAGTGGAGAACAGGGCAGGGCCGGCCCTAGCCCCCAGGGCTCTGGGCCATCTCTTCCAGGCACCATGTCTGATTAGCACTTGGAGCTGATAAGAAAAGCAAATGTTCTGTGTTTGGAACAGCTCTTGTAAGGCATGCTCACCAGCAGCTGGAGTTTCAAAGCCGCTCAGATCCTGTTGTGAAATTTATGAGAGGCCCCTCCAACATAGGAACCAGTCAGGCATCTTGCAGACGCCACAGTTCTCCAGGGAAGCTCTCAAAGCTTTGCCCAGAGACCACAGACCCACTAATGGGGCCTGGAGCCCAGCCCCACTCACGGGAAGAGAGTCTGGAATAGCAATCAAGGGGCAAGGAAATCCCGGATTCAATTTACAGGAGGTGTCTCTCCTGTCACAGGAGCCAGGAAGGCATTGTCTGGACAGCACCTTCCA